AATTTTACTGGTAAAGCAAATGAAATATATAGTGCAGAGTGACTATGTATTTATGTCAATTTGAAATCAAGTTTGTTAAAATGATTGTAAGAAATGTTATTCAAACGCAACATTTGAAAACACGTTTACATACTTTGGCTGTAGCTGGCTGTGCAGAGGTGATTGCTATTACTCCTTATGTTCCAGAAGGTTTTGGGTTCAATTGCTGCCTGACAAAACATATTAAAATGATAATAAAAAGTTTTTTTTTTTTATAATACTGAATCATCTGTGAAATGCAGAACCAAAGCGTATTCAAATGAATAAATCCCCAAACAAAAACCTGTTTCAGTTTGAAAGATACATTATTATTATTATTTTTTCTTAGTGTACGTAGATAAGAAACTTAGTTGGAACTTCCATCTTGATTAAATTCTTGGTGAAGCCACACGGTTCATGTGGGCCCGCACAAGACTAATTGGTGACATTTGGGAATCGAACTCAAAGTTACCGCGCTTTACCGTGTGTTATACCGTACGACTGAGTCGAATGCATCGATGGCACGGTGTGCTTTAACCAAGTTTCATTCAAAAGTTTTCTAACCCCGGATTTTCCTGTCGGATGTGACTCTGTGGTATGTTAGGAATATTTTCCCGCCAAAATCAAAATCGGCGACGGGCCTTTTGCGAGAAAAACTGATATTTAGTATCGGTGACTTATTCCATCATTTAAATATTTCTAAAATAAAAGTCTTTAGCTAATACGCGAAAGTAGAAACAGAAAAAATTTAAAGCTGTCTTTGATAGACTTTTTTGTGCCGTAAGTTTAAAGTTTCCATCAGCTCCAGATTTTGAGAAAAATCAGGTCAAAGTGTAAAAAATCGGTTTTTTGCAATATTTGAGAAGCTCTAGCAAAGAAATGAAAGGTGATATAAGCTTCCACTTACTTAAAGCTAGGACTCTCGACTACTACGATTGAAAATTCCATGCCTGCACCTTGAATTGATGGCCACTTATAGTCATTTATTGAATAGCAAAAACTGATTTTGGCGAAGTTTGAGTACCTGCCGCAATTAAACAAAAGATGATAGAACCTTCCACCTAGGCTTATATTAAGGCTTGAACTTTCGGCTACAATCTCTAAGAATACCATCCCTGCACCTTGACCCTAAGTCACTTGTAGTAATTTATTGTACAGAAAATTTTGGCAAAATTTGTTTTTCATTAGCACGATTTTCCAGTATTTTTTTTATTGTCCAATAAATGACTATAAGTGACCATAAGGTCGAGGTGCCGGGATAGTATTTTCACAGACATTAGTCGAGAGCTTTAGCTTTAATTTAAGCCTAAATGGAAGGTTCTATCACCTTTTCATTCTTTGCTAGAGCTTCTAAAATATTGCAAAAAACGCGATCTTTTTACAGGGCGGCCCCGTTCGCCGATTTTGATTTTGGCGGGAAAATGTTAATAGAATGTTACAGAGTCAGATCCGACAGGAAAATCCGCACACCCTGTGGTATTGTTGCAGAAAACATTACGAAAAGATATGCTTCAAAAGTTGGTATGTATCTCCATCACTCTAAAGACAGCTTTCATTCAAAGAAGTTTCATATATGATACCTGCGAAAAAATTACAGATCATGAAGACTGGACAAAGGCGCTCGCTGTCCGTGATGCACGGATGATTCATTATTGGAACCACATTATACCTTGTAAAAGGATGAAAGTGCGCGTGTTTAGTTATATTTCCAGACTGCCAAGCGGCCATCCGGGCCCTCTCCAATAAAATGATCAAGACATAACCAAATCTAAGCCTTGACACGCTTCAACTTTTATAAGCCAAGCTCCTCGGTTATTATTTCGATAGGAAGGATATTAATCTAATAAAATAAGCAGTTATCACGTTACCATATGGGGTCTAACTGATGAGACTTCAGAACACATTATTTTTGATTGGCCGACCTCGGCCAGACAGAAATCAATTAGTTTTAAAGCATCTATAGACGAAATCTGTATATAAAGGGTGTCCCAATATTTACGCTAGATTTGAATTAAATGGGAAAACATAGAATTTCTTTTTTAATTGTATCTTTTTAAAACATTAATTACATGCCTGTGGTGGTATATTGCGCAGAAGCATGGACGATGGCAACATTCGATGAGGCGGCCCTTGGAGTATTCAAGATAAAGATTTACGGGCCTTTACGCGTTGGTGACGATGGAACACTGAGCTCCATGATCTTTACAACGACATGGACATTTGTTGAATGTTATATGGAAGCAAATGGGTAAAACAAAAAATCTAAAAAATTAACCGTAATTTTTAGCCATTTGAAGCTTGTACTTTGTTCGACTAGAATTATTATTTTTTAAATACTGTACAAAAAATTACATAATTACAAAAAAGCAGACACGATCAAATGACGAAGAAAATTTATTCAAGTTCAACATTTTAGGGCAAGTTTACAGAACAGCTGTAGTGTGTAGAGACGCTTGATGTTATTTGCTATCTTTCAGATGATGCTGGTTCAAATCCCATCACAAAATTTTTGTCTTGTATCACCGAATTATGAAAAAGCATGTGTGAAGTACAGAACATAAGCGTATTCAAATGAAAAAATCGGCAACCAATAATTTGTTTAATGTAAACAAATGTTATATTACCAAATTATTGTTGAAAATATCAACCATGGCATTGTTAATATGAAACAAGAATCATCTTGATTCAATTTCAAGTTTGAATTTGATTGCATTGACCAATTTTTGGCTCAGTTTTTTCTCAGTGTCCATAATAGGGCTATTTGTTTTACGCTTCGAATCGATTCGTAAATTAAATATATAACATTTATATATAATATACAATAAAATCACACTCTTTTATACATGTTACTACAAATATGTATTTTTTCTATTATTTGTTGCATTTTTGTTCAATTTTGACTGATTGTTGGCCGCCATTATTTTTTAAAAATTCACTTTCTTACTTTCATTTGGACCCACTTTTCTACATTCTGGCCAAAATTTAAGCTACTCGTAGTAACGCTACTTTAGAAAGAAGTTATTTAAGCCTTGGCCGGTTAAACATTTTGCTTTATAGTACCAGGCTGACAGGTGTAGCACTTTTACTCATACACTTCTTAAGCGTTTTCTACTCTCGAAATAATTTTGCATTTATACTACCCTGCGCCAGAACTGTCAAGTCTTCGTGTTCTTTTATCAGTATCTTTACATGCATATTGCGTGCTCTTTCTTTAAAATGTTGGACTCTGATAATGTTGCCACATAAGAAGGTGACATTTTTTTCGAGAAAAGAAAACGCCATTAGATATTAAAATTGACACTGAAATAATAACACAAAGATTTGTGACAACAACAAGGCACAACATTGAGTTTGCAATTTAAATTAGTAAAATCGAAGTTCTAAAAACTTTGGTAAAATAATGCAACCCTTCAACGAAAAATGTTGTCCATAGCTTTAATAAACACAACACTACAGTTCACTCTTTGATGCGAAACTGTGTGCGTTTGAGCGAAAGTGCAAAAATCGGTTTTTTTACAGCAAACATATGGCGCCGTTTCGCACAAACGCACAGCAAAGCAACAAAACAAACGCTTATTTTTGGTTTTCGCATTTTCGCATCAAAGAGTTGACTTTACTAATGTACAATTTTTTATCTTCTTGTTTTCAAAAAGATTATATAATTTTTATATTACCGGTTGGATGCTTGTGCTTGAACTTCGAGGGGTAAGTAATCGGTGAAGCGCATACGACGTCTTTTTAAGGCCAAATTAGAGGTGCTATAACCATAACGCCTTAGCCATAACGTAGTAAAATACTTCACAGCTGCTTATGGTATGGCGAAAAGCTAAAACTAAATAGATTACCTACGATTATGGCTATGGCTCTGGCGTTATAGTATAGCACCAATAATCTTTTGCAGAGCTGCGCGAACGTTTTATCGGAACATTCCATTGCTATGGTTACGGTTATAGCTATGATATGGCACCACTAATTTAGGCTTTAATTTAACTTTATTTGACATTGGAGTCGATTCCCCTTCCCCAAACTAAATTCTTTCAGCACACATTTCACAAGGACATTTGCGCACTGAATTAGGAATTGAAAATTTTCAGTACGGGGCATGAAAATTCAGTACCGTCCTTCCCAAATCAGTACGTCTGGCAATCGTAATTGTGAAAAACAATTCATAATAGCAAGGAATTCGCCCACCAAAGTCCTTTGGAGGATTTATTAAGGGGCTGATATGTATGTGACTCAAAGCCGTAACTTTTCAAAATCATTGGAAGTCTTAGAAACGCTTTAACCCTAAATATAACGAACTATATTTGACCTATTGACTTTTCTTGTCCTACATTATCTGTACCCTACAGCAAATGACAAAATGCACTACTTGATGCATAAGACTGCATACATATATAAAATGTAATTCGTTTTTCTGTAAGGATTATTTCACAAGGCTCTCAATAGCGGTAAGATAGTTAGTGGAAATAGTAAATATTAATACGGAGTGTATTTGGGCGAACACCGTATGTATATATGTACATATATCATAAGGGGCTTTGCTGTGAAATTCTACTCTTAAGCAGTGATTGGACATTTGTACATTTTGACATGTATTTGGAGATTGGGGTTGCTTTGGAATTTTTTATTGAGCTGAACTCATAACTCGATAAAAATTTCTAGACAACACCACTCTGTCAAAATGTACAAATATACATATCGTGGGATCCATGCATTCTTCTAAACATATGCCTGTGAACTTTTGGTACTCTTGTATACGAAAAAGGTATGTAACAAATTATGCATCCTTACATCGTTGCCACAGTATGTGGCCTCATCGATAGAAAATTGCAAGTCCTCTGATTTCTTACGTTCATCATCCAGTAAGCGCTCCAAGTGAACAATTCGTGATTTTAGCTAAAAAATGAAATGTCCAAATACAATAAATAGTTAAGTAAAAATACAACCAAGAATAAGGTAAGCAATAAAACAGTTTGAAATTTATTACACATTTTTATTTTACATACGCATGTACATAATAAAGATCAGCATATGAATTTACATAATTTATACATATTTATTATTGTTCCATTTGTGCTTGTGATTAAGCAGTTGGTTTTGGTAAATACATATGTACAACATAACAAAATTCAAAAATAATCGTTCAAAGCAATAAAATTCGCTCAAATAACTAAATACATTTATTTAACAAGTAGTTGCGTTCGGTACAAGTGTTCTTGTATTTTTTTGTGCGTTTTATTATTATAAATAGGTTTTTTTTTTTAAATATCGTAGTTAGAGACAGCACCGGAATTACAACCGACTTCCTGCTATGGTTTTTAAACAAGTTTTGGTGTTGCTAAGTCAAAGCTCCAATTTATTTCCCATTCTCCGACTCCCTCAAAGAGTTTGAGCACCAGTTACTTCTAGTAGGGTATTCTAAGTTTCGCTCTTCATCGCTTACATATCCTATTTAATGCGAAGCGGTGTGAGGATGCTGTGCAGAAGGCAGTGTCGTTCGTGATTGCCGTACCAGCCGCGAAATTCGCGACGTAGGTCAGCCAGGCGATAGCTGCGGCGAGCAATTAGACGGGCCCAACGATCCGAATCAATGAGTTTATCCTATATTTGAATATTGTGGACAATGATATGTTTGAGCTGTGTTACTGATTAAAAATTTACTATGGAATATTAAATGAGATGTATTTATGTAAAGTAATATTGGGTGCCTATGTACATATCTACATATGTATGTATACTAGACCTAAATTTTGCGGAAAAATTTAATAATTTGCAAAAAAACCCTACTAGAGAAAAATGTTTTACTGCCATATATTTGCATGGCAATTTACATTCGAATTACCAATTTTACACGAGATTGCATCATATTAACAGTTATGTATAATAACTAACCCCAGATGAATGGTATCCAACGCTTCATTCCTTCAAAAAACCATTTGTTGACTCGAATCGTCTTTATTCTTTTTGTGGCGAATTTATTCATAAAGATTCATACAGTAATCAATGATACTATATGCATGTACATACGTGTTTACATATCGCACACCTAGATCTAAAGTGAGCTAACTCAAAATTCAGAGAGGGAAATTTAAACTGCTTGTGGATCGTACAGATTTAACGCAATTAATACAAAAACAGGTATAAGAGTAGTTTTTTAGTTAATGTGTATAATCATGAAGAAAAATACATTTTCATTAATTGGATGTGAGTCCTATGAATTGATTTATACAAAAAATCGCCCAAAATATTTTTTTAATTAATCGCACTTTAGATCCAGGTGTGCGATATGTGCTGTCTTAATCGATGACCTTTTTGTCTTTTAAAACCATATTTTCTGGGCGAAAACGGTACTAAGTGGTTTTCATAAGATTCTTCTGCAACCAGCTTTACATTATCTCGGACGTAAAATTGTTCAGTGCTAATACACGTAGAAGACAAATATCGAGCTTTTTTCATATCCTGCTTTGTTTAAACTTTAAATGTTTCCAGACGCACAGAGGTCTAAAACGGTAATCTGGAGGGACCTTTGTGATTTTGGTGAAGTGTCAAGTTCAAGATATTTTGCTTTCGATTCTGTAACACATTAGCTGATACAAAAGAATCCACTTTTCTTTTGTTAAAAAAAAAAAAACATATATGCATCTATAGTTAGTTCAAGTTCTATTTGCTTGCTGCTGACGTAAATCAAGCAGGGACGGAAAATAATCATTATTTTTTAAATTTTAACCAAAAAATCAACAAGTTGTAATCGTCGTAAAACAATTTTATCTATACCCACGTATTTGTTTTCGTACGTCCTACTGTAATTTACTATGATTTTTATTTTTCGATTTTAACCAATAAAGATTAAAAATAATAATTAATATTTGTGTTTTAATTTTTGGCTCAAAGGTAATTATTATTACATGATTTTTATTTTTTCGAATCATAAATAATGATTATTTTATGATTTTTATTTTTTTCGCTCAAGAATAATGATCATTAAAAAAACTCAAAAGCTATACCTTTTCAGAGGTAGCGACACCTTAATTAAAGGAATAAGTTCCAAAATTTTCAGGTCAAAATTTCAGTAAGCTGCGTCTGTATAGCGTTTCAATTTTATAATTAATCATTATTTTTAAAAGGAAAAATGAAACCTTCATGAGTTCGCCTTGATTTCAACTTTTTGAATGCATGAAATTTTGGATTAGAAAATAGTTTTTGTAAAGTGCTACTATTTTTTTCCTATAAGTGGCGAATAAAGTAATTGAGTTTTTAGACTGCTGTGTTCTCACACTTTATTGTTTTATAAACTTTAAGTCCGCCTACGTCCGCCCCCATATAAAGGTTCGAGTTTTTTGTTGACATTTTCTATTTTGCGGAAGGCACTATTTCATTTAGAACCGAATTCGCAGTGCTTAGTTAAACCGTTGTTACCTTAACCACTAGCAAAAGTTCAACTAAGAATTGGGTTATGGAAATTCATATCGCCTGAAAATATAAATAAACTAAAAATAATATTTTTCTATACAAATTTGAAATTGGTTCCACAAAAAAAATTTAATTTCACAAGAGTTTAACTATGGGGGCATGCTGGTTTAGACTCCTGTCTACTGAGCGCTAAATTTAAAGTGTCAGCTATATTGGATCCGACATTTTTAATTTTAAACATATTACATATATAAGTTTTGTAATAGGAGACTCAAAATATACCTAAATACTAAGTTTTATAAACATTCATGCAAACTGAATTCGTTAAATGATTTGGTCCCTCTAGATTATCGTTTCGGCCCACTCTGAAATGTGGTTCATATTTTCGTTACGAAAAAAAGTAAAACAATTTTGTCGTTGACTTTCCTCCAATCTCCACTTTTAAAGCGCAATAACTTTTAAACAAATAAACCAATGATCTCTAAACTTTCAATCGCGTTATATGTAATATTACGGTATCATTGCTGAAGTATCGGACTTTAAATAGGTTTATGTAGTAGTTAAAAACGAAAAAAACCTTTTCCTTAACCTTCATGTGCTCGGTAGTCTACATTTGGAGCATTTTTGCAAAATTATTCTACATCGCATTGAAATTTTTTAATATTTTTTTTTAATTTTTGATATTCTTGAAGATTCAAAGTCCTTTAAAAAGGACACTGTCGTCAGAGGGAAAAACTAAAAACGCAATTTTACTTTATTTGGCCCCTAGTTTCGTGAGTATATTGTTTCATGTGGTTTGAATTTTTTTTAATATTTTAGCACTGTGTAGATAATATGTATAAAAATTCATCTCACTTTTTTTACTCACCAAAGGTTTTTTTAATTTTTGGGTGTCGAAACATGCGTTTTGTTTCTCATGTTTAAGTGATCCTCCCTACAAATTCAAGATTTTTACAAATGTAAACTTCCGACCATCTACGCAAGTTTTCAGTCCCGAGCGCATGGAGGTTAACTCATTACTTTTGGTCCCATTGCTCTTTAGGCTTCGCTGATAATACTCTTTTTTTACCCCAAAAAATTTGCATGTTAATCGCTTTATATCAGCTGCCCTTCTCTTTGCTAACGGTTATTTTTACGATGATTTTGCTGGCTGGGTACTTCTGACATGAGCTTTAATTAAATTTTGTTTAATGAAATTTGAAAAAGCCTTTAAAATGTTGACCATGTTTGGACTACCAAAAATGTATAAAATGAAGATACCACGATTATTTTATTTGTTGCTTTTTCCATTTTTCCTAATAAAATAATCGTTGTACAAAGCTCATTAAAAATATTAAAATTAAATATTAATAAGTAACAATAACATTGGCAAATATGAAGAGTTTTCAGTTTAATTCGTCAATTTCATATTCGATTTCTAAGAAAATGGATTTTTTTGTAAATATTATTGAACCTGTCAGTAGTGAACTATTTACCATTTGGAAAAGAGGACTCAGTAAAGACAGGAAGCATAAGACTGTTTACAATTTTGTTATACAAAAGGCTGCTCCTTTTAATTAGCTTTCCAGCAGACAAATTCAGGTTTTCACTTGCAATTATTATAATTAACCAAATTTTTTTCAAAAATAGCCACGTTTTTTTAAAAACAACAATTCAAAACATGCCTTCAAACTTTTTCAACAAAATCACAAATTAAGAAGTGAACCCACTCGGTCTTCAAGGGTTAAGATTTTTGCTTGTTTGAAAAAATATGGGAAATCATATCGCTAGCTTACGAGTGCAAAGTTGCTAAGCCATTTTTTTTAACTTTACAGAAGAGGAAAAAACTTCTTTGAATGCAACATTTTGCGTATTTAAAGCAAAGCAAAACTCCATGCGAATAAGAAAGATTCGATCTATATTAAAAGATTTCGTATTATCTTGGTTTTGTCGGATTTTGTCTTTCATTGAATATAAACGAGAAAAAATAAAACAAGTATCTTAATCCTTTTCGAAGCGATACGTTCTTAATATTCCTTGCCTTCTATATCAAAATATGAGTTTTCACTCTAAGCTAGCGATATTCCAACCAGAAAAAGTATCATGTTTTTTTAAATAATCTACTCGTTTCGCCCTAATCAATTTTAGCCACAAAAATTGGTCATTGGTATGCTTTTTCATTGGCTCAAGAATCTAGCAAGTAATTTTTAAGTAACGAAATGCATCCGATTATATTGCTCGTATACAAATTTTGGATTACCGTCAATTTCTTCATGACATAATGATCGGAACTAAACCAAATTAGTTTCCAAATAAAATTATAGTTTAAAAAACTAAAACCTCCCTATTATAATTGCCTTTCGTACTGTCATCAGGTATGTAACTTGAGAATAGAAATCGCTGCATCTTTTAGGCGCATCAATATTACATAGTTACATCCCGAGCTAATAAAAGGAAGGTAAAAAAAGGGTTACTCGAAACGTGATCCAAAGTCATGCGTTAATGAATTGATAACTTTCCTCCTCTTTTTTGAAGTCGGTTAAAAAAAATAAATTACATTTGAATGCAAATGTCATTGGTTGATGAGGTTTTGCCATTTTTTTCCTTTCGATATTTTAATTCCGCAGTGTGGGTCGAGCTCTTGGACTTACCAACGGCGTGTGATGCACAAATAAATTTGCCTGCGGCCTGCATCAGCACACATAAATACATACATACCAGCATAATATACATATTTACAAATAAACATCTGAGGGATTCACAACGGTGTCGTAAGTGTTGTATTGTTGTATGTCGTAAACTTGAAGAGCTTAAATAAATATTTAGAGGACTTGCAACCACAATCAACTATTTTTTAACACTACGAAAACCCATAATGTGACTTTGATGGTACTTTGCGACCTCCTTTATTAATATATTTTTTAGGCGTTTAAAGTTTACGACATACAACAATACGACACTTACGACACCGTTCTGAATACCCCAATCGTTATTTTTCCACATCATTTCCCAGTTTAATATCCCAAAATATTTCAAAGCCTTTCATTAAATACCGAAGGTCATGCATGAAAGTGGGTTAAGGTTCTGACAAATTTTTTGTACTGATAAATGAGCGTAAGTTCAACCGTTTATCCAGAAACTTTATGCTGAGCCCAAGTGCACTTATAAGCCTAAAAATCCACCGGATCAGTGTGCATGCAGATACTTTTTCG